TCTGCAGGCCTGGTCACCTAACTGCCTTCCCCTGCAGGCCTGGTCCCCCCTGAAACTGTCCTCCAATGCAGGCCTGAGTCCACTTCCAAACTGCCAAACTGCCCTTTCCTGAAGGTCTGTTCACCCCCAACCTCCCTCCTCTGATGGATTGGTCACCCCTTACTGTCTTCCCCTGCAGGCTTGATCGCCCCCAACTACCCTCCTTTGGAGGACATCTTGTGGTGGCCATCTTGTGTCTACGTGGGAGCAGCCATCTTGTGTGTTGGAGTAATAGTCAATTTGCCTATTACTCTTTTATTAGATAGGATGACATTCTAATCTTCAAAAGCTATTCATTAAATTTATAGAACTCTACTCTAGAAACAGACCTAAAGTTTCAATGAAGTTATCTCATGGACATGGTTCCAAAATTAACAGATGGGTGTGTTTTTCATATCAATTATATACACATACTGTATTTTCTGGCGTATAAGATGACTTTTGAAACGAAAAAAAGCCTGCTCAGATTGTCCAGAGTCAGAGAGGCGGTCTATTAAAAAAAGAACTGGTGTTGCCTCGGAAGTGGGGGGTAGTCTTATACAGCGAATATAGGCCTAAACCTATGTTTTAACTGTAAAATTAGGGGGTCGTCTTATATGCCGGAATATAGCATATTTAAAGAGAGAACTAATACAGAATACATTTTATTTTAAGAGTTAAAGAAGTGGGAAATATATATAAAACTATTCCTCTCCATAAATGATTCCTATAAAAATTACTTATATTATAATTAAAAATAAACTGAAGCTAAATGTCCTCAATGTGTATGCATACACACACACTATGAGATAATATGTATTTTCACCAAAAATGCCTCTTGTCAAATGAAGTTTTTCCTATAGAACTATTAAAACTAATAGTGTCTCAAAAATAATCTCAGAATAAAATGCAGGATATTTGGGCTTGATTTTACTAAAACAACTCCTACCACTAAGCTGCTAATACTGCTGCTATTATTGTAATTATTATTATAGAGAGTTTTAAAATATATAAAGAGTAGGAAAGATAGCAGACATTTTAAATAAACCTGTTCTGGAAATTACTTCTCTAAAACCATTATGCCATTACCTTTAGTGTGCTGTAAGTTTGCTGAAAGCTGTTTTTTATCCTGTATGATTGGGTCATCCCAATAATGAAAATTTGAGCAAAATCAATACACTCAATATCCATGTTCTAGAGTAAATACACAGAAGTGTTTCTTGTAATGGGTTTTACTGGCAATGACAAGCCATTTTTCTAGTAACAGCTTTAATAATTTGTAATCATTAAAACACACCAAAGCAAAGAAAAAATTGGGAAAAGAGGTCAGGAAACACATATAGACAAACAGGAGATTGGCCCCCTGAATCACCCTGTTATGTAATCAAACCAAGGGTTGTGAAACAATTGGACATGGTCATCCTTAAATCAGAACAAATATAAAAATGTGTTTCTAAAAGATATGAAAGCCCACCCATACATAATGCAACATGAAGATCAAAGGGTGTCAGCAGTGGTGCTTGGAATACTTTCTGACCTTAGAGTGTACTTTCATGACTGAATGGATAATCAACCACTCCCAGAAAATGAGCAGACAATACAAGTAAAATGTATTGCTCATGAGTAATAATAACAGAGGGAAAATATAAGCATAGAAGAACTGACTTTATTTTCGCACTTATAATCTAAATCTAATCTGTAGGAAATTCATATTGACATCCGAGGGAGAATCCTTTGAGACAGCCTTTTAAACCCTGGCATGGTATAGTCGAGTACTTCCATTTAAAAATCTGCATGCTCAGCCTCAGAAAGAAGTGAAGCTTTTGTGCTGCCAAACTTACTTTTGATAGCTGCTTAACAATTTCCTTTGCCATTGATGAAAAAGGTTATAATCTGAACTGCTCAGTTTGGTGTATAAAGCCCTCCATAATCTGGACCAAATAAATTCTTCAGGCAATTCTACCATATAAGAAAAACAAATAAATTTAAATTGTAACAAGTCAAATTTGTACACTTTCCTTGACAGCGACTCTCTTGTAATCTTTAGGAAAGTGTCAGTGCTTTTCTGATTGAACTCGCTCATGCCTTTAGAATGTTGAAGGATTTAAGTCAGTTGGAAAATGTGTAACCTTTTACATAGTTGGCATCACAGTGTCTGCACAAAGGGGAAAACAATTTAAATTTGAGCAAGTCTCACTCTATCCTTCAATTATAAGTGATTTATTTTAAAATTTTAAGTTCAGATGACTGTATGCTTTGATCTAAAATTATCTACTATTAAACCCAAGGTCTACCTAGAAATAGAATAAAAATTTACTATGTGATTTGACAAGTTAAAATATATACATATATTTTGCCCCAGCCGTTTTAGTCAGTGGATAAGCATCAGCCCATGGACTGAAGAATACTGAATTTGATTCTTGTCAAGGGCATGCACCTTGGTTTCAGGCTCTATCCCCTGCCCTACTCATGCAGGAGGCAACCAATCAATGCGTGTGTGTCTCTCTCTTAGTCGCTCCCCTTCCTTTCCACTCTCTCTAAAAATTAATGGAAAAATATCCTCAGGTGAGGATTAACAAATGTATATACTTGTTAATGTTTATTTGTTTATTTTTTTCATTAAATAATAAAAATGTACATAATCACAACAGAAAATTATCTAGCTAATTATTATTGTAAATATGGTCATTTTGTTAAGCATTTGGAAAGCATATTGCAAAATGGAAGAATCATTAATATCTATCTATTGGGTATAGTTTTATTATTAAAACATATATATGCACATAATTTTGTATAAAAATTATAAATATACATTATGTGTTTTACGATTGGTTATTTTAAAAGTATATTATCTCACATATTTAACTCATTGACCTACTTATTACCCATAAGTATAAGGATTATATCTATATGAACCATATGTTTGGGAGATAGTAGTATTTTAAATAAAAAGATATAGTTATTTTGATTATTTTATAACAGACATATAAAAACTTTATATATATAATATTTATAGTATAATAATAATAAAAATATATATATATATAAAGATTACATTGAGAAAGCTCTGATAATTGAGTTCTAAACTCAAGTTTCATTATAGCATATATGTTAATAAAAATATTCAAAAGATTCACTATCTTGATACTTTGAAAATAAGCATGATAACTTCCAATATGTTAGTTAACTATCAACAAAGAAATGCAAATAAAAACCAAGCATGCATATCCTTATGTCCATAACCACTGTACACATGACAAAACACATCCCTAATCTAGGTGGGAATGAATGGAGGGAGCTTTGCCTAAAAACAAAATTATTTTCATAGATATAAAAATAGAGGACTAAACCTCTAATGACAGCTTCTAGTTTCCTGAGGTTCAGTTACAACTGTCAAATAGCTTTGTATCTTAGGTTGGTAGATGGCCATGGGAAAGCAGAGATATGCACATGCATAGACATATACATGCACCAGAGAGCATACACATGTATATAATAAGAAAGTGGATGTCAGATAGAGAGAAAGATTTTCAGGAACACATAAAATATTGAAAAGAAATTTATGCTCTCAAATGCTTTGTTGTTATCCTTGAATTAAATTTCTACAAAATTTAATCTTTTTCCAACTGATTATAATTTAATGAAAGTGAACTGACAACTATTTAAGTTAGGTAGCAGGAATATTTTATGTCATTGTGTGTGTGTGCGTGTGTGTGCATGCACGCACACATGTTAAACTTTTCATATCACCCACAAAAACACTAACAAGTATAACTGTCCCAACTCTAATCTTATTTAAGAATTTTGCTCATATTTTTCTCCTCAACTTCCATTTATTTCCATACAGAAAATAAGGCAAGCTCTTCTTTTTATTCTGGTATGAGTAAAGTCACACAGATAATTATAACAGTGATTGTCAGATTGCTATAACATACATGCATATATTTCAAGCACAGCAACAACCGGATGTACTGGTTTTCTCAACAGGCTTGTTTCTCTTATGTAGGGATTAAACTACTCAGGAACCAAACAAATCTCTCTAAAGCATTCATATGCCTCAAAGATTTGGACTATAAAGTCTCCAGATACAGAAAATCATGTGGTGAGCTAAAATTTCACCTGAGATAGATACTCCTTCCTGCCTTTCACTTAATCCATCCAGTTATTTCAAATTTCAATGTGTTTTCTCAGAGTATCTATCACATCCAGAGCATACTGAGAGATTAAAATATATTGGCAAAATGTATTGAGTTCGAAATTTTTTAAATTGAGCTTTATTAACTATTACAACTCCTAGGACTTTTGTTCTGCCCTGCCTTTAGGAATCTATATTAAGGTGGTATATAAGGATTTTACAAGATAATGCACAAAAAGCCTTTAATATAATTCCACAAAACAACACTTGTCTAATATGGTGTGTAAATGCCTGTTCAAAAGAAAAGAATTTGGGGACCCAGTTTGTCAGGTGAAACACCGTTCTTCAGGTTATAACAGTGAAGCAGGTTGCTTTATACCCACAACTAACATCCAAAGAAAAAAAAAACAAGAAGGAAAAAAAAAAACCCTTTCCTGTAACAGCCAACTTTTCATTCCATCAGTTTTTCCTTAGCATTTCCTGCACTGTTTCCAAAGTGAAATTGCTATGAGTGAAATATTTTTCATATTGAATAATTGAGAATCGAGCCACTTAAAACTCCTTCAAGAATAATAAACTTGGAAAGCCTCTATGTAAATGTTTAGATTCTCTTTTCAATTCCTAACACTGCACAGCTTTTTCTGAAATATTAATAGTACCAAAGCAGGTATAGTGGAATAAATATCTTAATGATATTTTCCTTTAAAAAAAAAAAAGTCTACAAGTTCTGCCTGGCTATATAGAGAGAAAGCCATTTTTTGGTGCACACATTCTTATGAGTGCCATCATCAAGCAAGTAAAATTCAGATCACAGAGAAGAAAGCTAACAGATGAAGAAATTGCTCACCTGTAGGAAGCAGATCAACAGACTGAAGTCTACTTGTGATGGTGTGTAGGGTGAGGATAGCAAAGGAAAGCAAAGTCGGGAATG